TTTATTGTCTCCAAACAGTTGTATAAGGCTGCAGGGTAGAGTCAGTGGTAGAATAGAGGACTTGAATATATAGTTTGTATTTTTAAGAATACAGTGCCAGGCTGGGCGGTGGTGGCGCACGACTTTAATACCAGCACTCCGTGCCAAAGCAAACAAGGTGCAGGTACAGGTTCAGGAAGACTGAAAATTGTTGATGCTTGGGTAAATGTGTCTTCTGACTGTGCTGCAGAGGGAATACACCTGAGACCAGAGGAACAGCCTATGTGGTCTACGAAGACATCTTCGATGCTAAGAATGCATGCGACCATCTCTCCGGATTCAACGTGTGTAACAGATACCTCGTGGTGTTGTATTATAATGCTAACCGGGTGAGTACAGCCTACTCAGAGTGGCTCTGGGAAGTGTGTGGTGGGTGTTCTGTTGGTTAGTGCTGCTGGTGAGCTCCTCCTTTAGCTGTGGTCAGTCCTCAACAACTGTGGTGCTTGTCACACTTGCAGGCATTCCAGAAGATGGACACCAAGAAGAAGGAGGAGCAGCTGAAGCTTCTCAAGGAGAAGTATGGCATCAACACAGACCCCCCCAAATGAGTTCTCGGACTTCACTCTGAAGACGTCCATGCAGGGTCCCCAGTCACCATTTTCTTCTTAGTTAGCATGACTTGTTTCAAATTTTTCTAAGCATTAGAATATATTATGTTAATAAACCTGTAGCTTTTGTAAAACCTGTCAGTGTTTTCTCTTTTGGAGAATGGGGGTTTTGAGACAGGGTCTCTCTGTGGCACAGCCCTAGCTGCCCTGCAACTCGCTCTGTAGCCCAGGCAGGCCTTGAACTCACAGAGATCCACCTGCCTCTGCCTCCCGAGTGCTGGGACTAAAGGTGTGCGCACTGACCAGCCAGTGTTTTCTCTTAAACTTCCTACTCCTGTTTAATACGAGGAAAAAAACACAAGACAGGAGAACCACATGCAGGACTGTAGGTGAGCCTAGGGACTGAGGGCCTTGAGAACAGTGGTTTTGGGGGTTTTGTTGTTTGTGTTTATTTACTTGCTGTGATATATATGTATGCAGACGTGCATGTGTAGCAATCAGAATGACTGGTAGGAGCTCTTCCACCATGTGGGGCATGGAGACTGAACTGAGGCTTGAGAGCAAATGCCTTCACCAGATCCTGAGCCATCAAAGGAATGTGTGGACTTGTCTTGTTTTGATTTTGTTTTTTTTGAGACAGGGTCTCTCCATGTAGACCAGGCTGGCCTCCAAATCACAGAGATCCTCCCGCCTCTGTCTCCCAAGTGCTGGGATTAAAGGTGTGCGCCGCCACACCCAGCCCAGACTTGTCATTTTTAACCAGTAACAACCCAATGAGGTAACATGAGGACACCAAAGCTCATGATGTGTAGTGCACACCTGTAATCCCAGCACTTGGGACGCTGAGGCAGGAGGATCACCATGAGTTTGAGATCATCAAACTATGATCTATGGCTATGGAGTAAATTCTGGGCCAGTCTCAGCCCGGGTTACAGAGTAAGACTGTCTCAAAAGACGAAGGCAGAGACATGAGTGGACTGGCACAAGAGCTGCAGAGAGCCAGACACCTGCCAGTGGGCAGCCTTGTCCTTACAGCAGAGGTCTGTGGAGAGGCGGTGGTTTAGAGGGCAGCATGTTGGTAGAAACTTGAGAGCACGCTGTTTAGGCAGTGGTACCATTACCAGGCCAAGATGGAACTTAGGTAGATTGCCTGCTCATTATTAACTATATATATTTTGGGCTTAGCTCACAATATGTCTTTGCCATAAATAAAATGCTTAATCTTAGGAGTTTCCATGACATGGGAAGAGTGTAATAATTGTCACATTCACTGTGGCTTGGCAGCTTGGGGGAAGACAGCTATAAATTTTCTTTTTATAGTTCAGGCGCAGGCCAAATGGAGAAGTGTGGACTGATTGTTTTGTAAACCCAGAACCTAGAGTCACTTTGAAGGCTACATAGACTGACTAGTATTAACGGACAAAGACATCCTGCTTTTAAATGCATTTAAAGTCTGTCATTACTTTGTAGAAAATAGGCTACCTTCTAGATTTTGTGCTGTCTTTTCAAAGCTCACGCAGGAATGATGTATTATGTCTGAGTGGTTTTTGAAAGCACCGTAAAAGAATGAAAGGCCTTTTTTGTTTTGTTTTGTTTTTTTCTTTTTTGAGACAAGGTCTCTGTGTAATAGCCCTGGCTGTCTGGGAACCCACTACATAGACCAGGCTGGCCTGGAACTCAGAGATCCGCCTGCCTCTACCTCCTGAGTGCTGAGATTAAAGGTGTGTGCCACCATAGGCAACAAAAAGCCATTTCTAAGAAGGGTGGGCAGATAAAAAGGCCATAGCTGTACTTTTCTTATGAGTGCCTTTATGATTTCCTTATTAATTCCATAACGCATGCTGTGGCTTAGGTGTTTGCAGATTTAAAAGGTGTTCTGAAAGACCCCTTTGTCAGGGGAAAACCAAAATCAGACTGACTTGAGAGTGATGTCTCCACGTGGCAGGCCCGCTCACCTCTAATGATGTTAATAACCAGGAAAATTCCTTCTATTAGCAGTTGTGAACACTGTCAATTGGATTATGTATCTGTTAGCTGAATTTCATGACCCAGATTAAGAGTTTTAAAACTAGGGCTGAGGGTATAGCTCAATGAGAGAGGGCTTTCTGAGCCAGGGGCTGGGTTTGACCCCAGCACTACAGAAAACAAATTCCCTTGTGACTGTTTGGAATTCTGTAATTTAGATACAAGAACTTAGACTGGGACAGACACTGAGTCTCTCTGCAGGAGGTATGTGGTTAAATCTGAGGCTCCAGTTGACTGTCTTCTGCACCAGGCACCTAAAAGTTCAATTTTTTTAAACCAAGTTTAAGAGTGTAAGGGATGGCTGTGTGGTGGTGGCCCACGCCTTTAATCCCAGCACTCGGGAGGCAGAGCCAGGCGGATCTCTGTGAGTTCGAGGCCAGCCTGGGCTACAGAGTGAGATCCAGGACAGGCTCCAAAGCTACACAGAGAAACCCTGTCTTGAAATCCGCCCCCCCACACACACACACAAAGGAGTATAAGGGATGAAGTTGGACATGGTGACACACACCTATAATTTAAGCACTTGGGAAGCAGAGGCAGGAGAATCATACATTTGAGGTCAGGTTAGACTACACGGTGAACTCTTGTCTCAAAGGACAGAAAGTGCAATGAACAGATTTTGTCTACATAGTCTCCGGTGCAGGTGTGTCCAACTTGCTTTACTTTCAGTGAGGCTGAGTCTCGGGGTTCTAACAACTTACGAGATTCATTGAGTAGCAGTTTGAAAACAAGTGATAGGATCTTTTTTTTTTTTTTTTTTTTAAGAGTATTCACTTATTATGTATACAGTGTTCTGTCTGCATGTATGCCTGCAAACCAGAAGAGGGCACCAGGTCCCATTAGAGATGGTTGTGAGCCACCTTGTGGTTGTTGGGAATTGAACTCGGGACCTCTGGAAAAGCAGCCAGTTCTCTCAACCACTGAGCCATCTTTCCAGCCCAAATGTTAGGATCTTACACTGGTCTCTCGCTAACCAACCTTTAGTGACTCTCTCAAGACACTGAACTCTTTGGCATGTGCCGTAATTTTTGATATCATCTTCCAAAGACTTGAGAAAGCAGTCATTTCTCTGCTTACCTGTAAATCCTATATATCCCTCCGGTGCTAGCCAATAGGTGTTTACATTATTAGGGTTTCTTAGTAGCTGTCATTACAGCCTCTTGTCACCAGGCTGTACTTACTATGGACAGATCTTTTGTGTGGGCCCATGAAATAGTTTCTGGTATCATTTTTGCTCATCCTGTTGATGTCAACAGCAGAAAGTATGGGTATCTTTTCTATACAGGCTGAGTTCTGAGGAATTATAAGTGTTGGAGTCATCGAGGAAGCAGGATATTCCAGAGGTGACACCCCAGAGTGGAATGGGTACAGCATCCTTTGGCCACTGTGGTTCCAAACACTGTGGGTGAATAAAAGCAAGGCAACCATGTTCCATTCATGGTTGTGTTCATGAACCCCTCAGCCTCAGCAGAGGAATTCATCTGTGACTTTTGGGATATAAGGGGTATATAAAGTAGCCCAGATTGTGGCCCCATATCCTACATAGAATGCTACATGATGTATATCAGTGGATCTTTAATCCCAACACTTGGGAGACAAAGACAGATCTCTATGAGTTCGAGTTTAAGGCCAGCCTGGGCTACATAGTGAGATGTCTCAAGTAAAAAATAGATAAGCAAATAAATAAATCAGATAGATAGCTCCTGAGGATTAGCAGTCTAGGCTGTCCTCTGTTCTCCATAAGCGCCCATGTACACGCACATGCAGGCACAGACACCTTCTACACTGTTCTCAGAAGTAACTTCAAGGTAAGCTCGAGCAAATCTAGATGTAAGTAAGCGGTGCCCATGAAAACAAGCCTCAGAACCACACATTCTTTTCAAAAGTAACTTCCCAGAGCGAGTCAGGTTTCGAGCCTTAAACACATTCATTTGTTCAGACGCACTTTCTGGTGAGGGAGGGAAGCTCATCCCTCACTCCGCAAACCTGAGGTTGTGGGATCACCTAGGAGATCGAATCTCACTCAGGATTGCTAGGATGCCGGGTTAGTTACGCGCGGGGGACTCCAAGCTGGTGAGTTTAGTAGGGTAGTAGCTAATTTGCAAAGTTGCTTAGAGGGTTTGTGATCATTTTATTGAAAAAGGAAAGCTAGGCTTGGGTGGTCTGCACCTGTATATCCCTGCAGTCAGGAGGCTGAAGGAGTTCTAGGTCAGCCTGGGCTCCGAGACCCTGTCTCAAAACAAAATGAGACGGAAAGGATACAGAACAAGGTCCAGCATTAACGTTTGCTCGTGTAGCTATTCCTTACACTCTCTTAGCCCCCTTTTACTCCTTTATCACCAAGGGCAGCGCCTTGTGTGTCATTAAAGAACTTCCCACAACACGATGGCCAGGAAGATGCCAAGCATGGAGCCTTTATTTTACACAGTATTTCCAAAGAGGGAGCTGCTTAAAGTGAGCAGCCAACAGGAGAAAGTGACAGCAAAGGTAACTGGCTCAAGTCCCTCCATGAAACCACGTACAGCGCATGTCTGAGCACCTTGGATGTCTGGCTTAAGTGCAGGTAAGGCAATAATAGATTGTGCAAACAAGGTCCGTGTCCTCGGATCGGGAATGGCTACTACATGCATCACAAAATAAACAACCTGAAATGTCTGGATCTGTCGCTAAATTTCCTCAAGCAAAGATGTATGGGAACAATTAAATGGCGGACGCATACAGAGCAGGGCGGGCGGGAAGAACGGATAATGTCGAGGGGCAGTGACATCAGCACACTGATCAAGAGCCCTACATAGGAGGAGCCGTCCCAGTGGCAGAGCAGGCTAGGACAGAGAGCGGGAGCCATCTCCAGCCACCTCGAGTTCCTTCCTGCCTTCACTCTAAGTTGAGCAGCTCCACGTCAAAGATGAGGGTGGCATTGGGAGGGATGACTCCAGGGTGGCCAGTAGCTCCGTATGCCACATCAGGGGTGCAGGTCAGCTTCGCCCTCTGCCCCAAGCTCATCTAGCAGGGATGGGGGGCAGATGGGAGAGGAGAAAGAGGACCCAGCTTGATTTAAAAGAGAAAAGGAAGGTGACGATGGCATTTTTCCCAAACCATACTTAGGGTGATTCCAGATCTGAGATTAATTTTATACGTGGCACACTAAAGTCCGGCTGAGAGCTTAAACATGCAGATTCTGCCTCAAATTATGGAGCAGTTAACAGCCACAAAGTAGTCTCAGATTCATTCAAGCATCAACCATTACTGGTTATCCAGCTAGTGCATGCTTGTGTCTGCTCATGATTGTTCCTGGTCCTCTTCCGAAGTAGTCAAAGAGGAATGTATAAACAGCTTTGAACACACTTGCAACAGGACCAGTTAAGATTCAGCGACTAAAGGCCACGGCATGGCGGCAAAGGAGTGGAACATCCTATAATTTCCCCAGAGAACTGAGGGAGGAGAGCTGGGACCACAGCTCATCAGCACTGTCAACCCCTGCCCCCCCGCCTCCCGGAGCTGTTTCAAATGTTTCAAACATTTCCAGAAATTTGAGTGGACTGGTTAGTATTGTATCGATGTTAATGCTTTAGTTGAATCACTGTAGTATGATTATATATGTTAGCATTTGAAGAAGTTGGGTGAAAATTATATAGGGGCTCCACTATTTCTGTAATATTTTTATATCTGAAATAGCTTCAGAAAATGTTTAAAGGTAAAAACCAAAGCACTCCTTGGCTTATCCATCTCTAGCTCTTCTGCTGTCTCAGCTCAGACAGCTTGTTGGTCTTTTTAGCCCGCTCAAGCAAGCCTAGGAAAGATGCTTGGGATGAGATACAGATGTGCCAGGCACAGAAGAGGCGAAGGGCAGAACCAGGAGTGAGCACTAGGTGGCGTTGCTGCACCTGGCAGTAGAGTCATGGCAGTGTGCGTCTGTGCTAATGTGAGTGGGAAAGTGGAGGACCCAAATCCACCACTCCTTAAAGACCCCTTTAGTGAGCATCCTCAGCCTCCCTGAAACCATTAGTGAGCATCCTCAGCCTCCCTAAAACCGTTAGTGAGCATCCTCAGCCTCCCTGAAACCGTTAGTGAGCATCCTCAGCCTCCCTAAAACCGTTAGTGGGTATCCTCAGCCTACCTGGGCAGCACCTTCTTCAAAACCTTTGATGACTTCCTGCTTGCCAATTCTGAACTTGAAAGGTTTGTTTCTGTCTCTGGATGAATCGAATTTCTTGCCATTCTGGAGCATTCCTAGCGAAGTGAGAAGAGGGTAGAAAAGAGCTGTGGTTTTGAGTGAACCAACAGTTGGACTCAGCATGTCTAGACGGAATTCCTCTTCCGAGGGAACCCTCTCCTCTTTGATCTCCCCATCGGCAGGAAACCTGGACCTATCTCTCTGCCTCACCCCCACATGCAGCCTGTCACCGAGTCCTACATCTCCTTGGAATCCACCTACCTTTCTAATTTCTGCTACTCCACCACTCTGGTCTCCAGAGTCACCAGCACACCTCACCTGGAGACAGGAACAGCCTCCCAAACGATGTTTCTACTGACCAATCTTCCACTCGCTACATCCACAGATTTTTTTCCCCCTTTAAACACAATTCTGATCATTACTTTTCCCTGCTTAGAACACAATAGCTCCCAGAGCATAATCCAAAAGCCTGAGGCTAATGATGCCTGCCTTCAAATTCTCTCTCTCCCCATCTCTGCTCCTCCCCCTACCTATTCAGAGCACACCATTCGCAAGTTCCTCTACGCCTTCTAAACTTTTCCAGCTAAATCCTCGGGCATTCTAGTCTCAGGTTCAGTCCTTTCCTAAGGTTCTAAGTGCTTCCTGAGAATGCAAAGCCAAAGATCACACCATCCCATCATCCCCTGCTCCAGTAAAAAGTGTGAGGCGACTTAGGCACTCGAGTAGCTTCCAGCTCCTGTGCAAACAGTTGTTTTATCCTGGAACACCCAGGTGTGATCTCTGGCAGTTTGTATCATCCTTTACCTTCTCACTGCCAGGAGCCCAGTGGTCCCTGACATCCACATGTTGTCACTGTCCATCAGCCCAAGGACCCAGAGCTACTGCACTATTTCCATTGCTTATGGTACTCTTGCTCAAAGACCAGTGTGTCTTCTTAAATTTTCATTTTAGTTTACACGTATAGGTGTTTGCCTGGGCAGCATTTGAGTGCCTGCTGCCCTTGGAGGCTAGAAAATGGCTTCAGATCCCCTGGACCTAGCGTTACAGATGGATGTGAACCACCATGTAAGTACTGAGAATTGAACCCACGTCCTCTGGAAGAGCAGCAGGTGCTCTTAACCACTGAGCCAGCTCTCCAGCCCCAGACTTGATTTTCTGAATTCCATGCTAATCTAAGGTTTTTTTCTTTTTCTTTTTTTTTTTTGGTTTTTTGAGACAGGGTTTCTCTGTGTAGTTTTGCACCTTTCCTGGAACTAGCTTTCTAGACCAGGCTGGCCTCAAACTCACAGAGATCCACCTGCCTCTGCCTCCCAAGTGCTGGGATTAAAGGTGTGTGCCACCACCGCCCAGCTAGTCCAAGATTTCTATAGGTGCTAAACCACCACATAAGATAATGTGGGATCATAGGAAGACACGGCCTGTTAAGTTCAGAAATGGAGTTCTTATTATTTTGAGATTTTGTTTTATTTCAACCGGGTCTTATTCTGTAGCCCAGGCTGGCCTGGAGCTCAATATGTAGCCCTAGCTGGCCTCGAAATGCTGAATCTCAGGTGTTAGTCACCACACCCAGTTGAGAAAAGGTTTTTAGTTCAGTCTGGCACTGACTCACTGTGTGAAATTGGGGAAATGGGCCTCATATTTTCCTTATTTAACATAGGAGGCTTTGCCAGCTTACAAGTGCCTGAGCATCTATAATTTTACTTTTGAATTCCTACAACTCGAATGTGTACTAGAGAGTCCTATTTACCTCCCTTCTGGGTAGACTAGGTTGGGCTCCTGCCCTGAGTTCTAAATGTGGCGAAGGAGAAACCCTTCTGGCTGCCCAGAGACGCACACAGATGGATGCTACAGAGATCAAACACAAATACATGGAGATACACAGTTGCTAAGATATTCAAATTCACAGAGATATTTATGCATGCTCACATGCACTTACACACAGACACTCAGGAGAGGGCCCTGATGGCCAAGCAGATGCTAAGAAAATATTTAGATCGGCAGACCTACATATATTCATACAGACATGCACTTGGGCAAATACACGCTTGAATATGCACACATGCACAGTCCATTTATAGACTAGCTTTCCCATTTCCCCAATGCCTTCAGGTTTCATAAAGCTGAATCTATTTGGAACCATGTAACAGTTATCTGTTGCTGTGAGCTCAGCCAAAGCCACAAACTCCAAACACGGGCCCACATAAATATGTGTACTTCTTTTACAATGATGCCACTATAATACATCAAATAAAGGATGACTTTTTGGATTAACATTGCTGGATCAAATCTCTATCCACATGGGGAAAAAGAACTGAATTCAGCCTCTACCACCTCTACACACAAAAACCAATTCCAGATGAACCAAAGTCCTAAATATGAAAGATAAAATAATATAACCTCAGGCTTCGGATGTAGGGATGTAGTATGGTGGTGGAGTAATTCACTGTATGTACAAAGATCTCGCTTTGGTTCTTAACACCACAAATACTCATGGTTTCTACAGAGCAGTGGGGCACCATGGTGCTCAATTGCAATCCCAACACTCAGGTGGAGTCAGGAGGATCAGGAATTCAAGCCTTGATTACAGACAAATTCAAGGCCAACCTGAGTCACATGGATCCTGTCTCAACTCTCTAAATAAATAAATAAATAAATAAATAAATAAATAAATAAATAAATAAGAAAAGAAAAACACACACCACCACCAACAGCATTTTTACCAGATGATAAACATATGAATAAATGAAATCTTCATAATATAGTGAAAGATTTCTTGAAGTGAATATAGAAAAATATGTAACCATGAAGGAGAAGACTGATAAGTAGGACATCATGAAAATTAAGAACTTCCGCTCCAGAGATACTATTGAAAGATTAATGACAGGGCTGGAGAGACGGCTCAGTGATTAAGAGCCCTGGCTGCTCTTGCAGAGATCCTGGGTTCAATTCCCAGCACTCACACAGCAGTTCACCACTGTCTGCAATTTTCAGTTTTCAGAGGATTCAGTGTCCTTGTTCGGCCTCTGCAGGCACCAGACACACAAACTCACCATGTAGCCAAGGTTCGCCTTGAACTTTTGATCTTGTCCCCGCTTCCCAAGTGTGGGTATTATAGGTGTGGACCACCAGGGCCAGCTTATATTCCCTTTTTTTTTTTTAAGTTTACCAGAAGTTTCATACATACTGTGTTTGCTAAGACAGTTTCTCCTAAAGCACAGCCATTTGTAGCTGATGGAAGTGTTTCACGCACACTGCCTACTCTATGTATCTACTTTGCAAAAAGACATTTGGTTTCATTAACTTGATCAACAATGATCTGTCTACAACATGTCGAACAGATAAATCAATTACCCTGGTCAGAGGCTCCAGAGGCCCCAGGGTAATTAGGCCACATCACCAGGAGATAAAACAGCCCGGGTGTGCTGACATCAGTGACTGAGATTCAACTGTTGAAAAACAGCCACGTCATCTGCTAGAACCAGTCTGGTGCTTCGCACTGGCCTAGGGAACTGCTAAAAATGGCCCCATCTGAATATGTCCCAGGAATTTAGCTGGCCTTGCTGTATGCTAAATGGCTGTCACCCATAGACTTTGCCACATTAGGAAGCGAGTCACAAGGCAGAGTCCTCACACCTCTTGGAGCAAACACCTGCCAGCAGTCTTCTTGCCAGCAGGCCTAAGGAACTCATCTAGAATGTTCCTGAGGGCGGGGAAGGAGGAGGAGCACTTGTTGCTCTTCCAAAGCATCCAAGTTCAGTTCCCAGCACCCACATGGTGGATCACAAACATCCATAACTCCAGTACCAGGGGATCTGACACCTTCTTACCTCCAGGGGTACCAGGCACACATGTGGCACACACACATACATGCAGCCCAAACACCCATACACATAAAATAAAATAAATGAATATAGAATGCCCCTTGGTCCGTGGGTCTTCAAACACACAGCATCCAAGAAGAGACAACAAAGATGCCGCACCCTCCTCTGGATTCTCCCAGCACCCAGAGACAGCATTGCCCCACCCTCATCCCCCTCACTGCAGTGAGGGGTGGAGAGGTGTGGACAAAAGAAGAAAAACAGGGTAAAAGGGGATCTGAGGGTCTTTCAGAATAAGTTTGAAACATGAGACAGGAGCAGGAAGGCCAGGATACCCACTGCCCACCATCAGGGAATGAAACTGGAGGCTGGCACCATAGATGGTGGGTAAGGGAAAAGTGAACTGGTCACAGGAAACAGCGATGGTCTTTGAGGACCATCCAGGGACAAGACTCTCTGGGGAGAAGCTTACAGGATAGCCCTGCCTTGGGAGAGGCACACCTGGGCCAGGGCTGAGGGAGTAAGACGTACCTGTGTAGTGCACCACGCATATCTGACCCTTCTTGGGGAACGTCCTTCCTGTCGGGAGATATGAAGGCAGAAAAGGGATTAGGGGATTAGAAAAACTCACCTGACACATCCAAGATTGATTTCGACCCTGATTGACTCACTTTTCCCTTATTATCACAGAGATGCCTGTCTCTGTGCCTTGGATGAGCCAGAAGTAATAATGTCTCCTTTCTAGTTTGTATTTGAACTCTATGTTATTGGCCCAGTTTACTAGTTAAAACAAGCAAACAAAAAACTCCATCACTTTTTATTGCTTCTTTTACTTCCATCTATTCTACAAGCATTCATGAATAGCCAACTATGTGCCAAACCTGAAGCAGATCTCAGAGACAGAGAGCAATACATGAACCCATGAAGAAGAGAAGCAGAAACATAAATCCCAAAGTGCTATAGAGTCATGATTGCCATCAAGGATGAATAAATGCAATCATTCACAAGAAATCGATAACGACCAGACCGGTGCCTCATGCCGGAGTTACAGCCTAGAACAATAAAGACAGGCTCCCTGGTCTTCTGAGGTTTGTAGTCTTTCTTTTGTGTATGTGGGATGGTCATGTGTTGTGGGGGCAGTGTGTGTGTGTGTGTGTGTGTGTGTGTGTGTGTGTGTGTGTGTGTGTGTAGCGCATGCATTTGTGTACCCAGGTGCACATGTCCATGAGCTCGCAAGCAAGAGGCCAGACAAAGATGTTGAGTGCCTTCCTCAATCCCCCTCCAACTTATTTCCCTGAGATCCAGCCACTGAGCCAGAAGCAATGCCACGGAGCTCCCAGGACCTGCCTGTCTCTTCTCCCAGTGCTGGAGTTTCAGGCAGTCACACCCAGCTTTTTCAGATGAGTGATGGAGATTCAAACTCAAGTCTTCATGTTGGTATAGCTGGAGCTCTTACCCACTGAGCCATCTCCCCAGTTTCCACTCTAAAGGAGGGAGACAACCAATGCTCACATAAATAAGGATAGATGGCCAATAAGCCCTCTAAAGAAAATGAACACACTGATGAATTGCAGAGAGACGTGGTGAACCAGCAGTTTCAGAAAGGGCGTGCCAGGAAGGCGTTTTGGAGAAGGGGATGTGTGAGCTGCTACTTTCGGAAGGGATCAACTCAAAGACCACGCATGCAGCAGGGAGGGACTGCTGTATTTTCAGGATAGGAGGGAACAGAGTGAGAGGGAGGAGAGGAATGTGAAAGAGCCGCACCACACAGCTTACAGAGATGGATTTAATACTAAGTGCAGTAGGAAACCACTGAAGGGTTTAAAAGCATGAGAATGACCTAATCTGAATTAAGATTTTATAAGATCACTCTGGCTGCTGCGTGTGGGATGGGTGGTTAGACATCTGTTGCGATAATCTAGACAAGAAATCAATGACGGTATGAATTAAGGTGGTGGCAGCTGAGAACGGAGTGAAATAGATTGGAGATGTATTGGGGAAGCAGGGTTGACGAGGGCATCTAAGTGGAATGGAGACAGGACCCGCCACCCATCTCGCCGCCAGATGAGGAAAAAAGGAGAAAACAAGAACGATGCTTGAAATTTGAGGTTTGGGTAGCTGGAAGGTGGTAGAGCTGTTTTCAGAGATGAGAAAACCGAAAAGGAACAGATTTGTGCGGGTGGCAATCTCGAGCTGCCTATTAGACATGCAAGTTTTTACTGCAAGAAGGTAGATGCAGAGCCAACGCTGAATAAACAAACTGGGTGGAATATAAAGCCATGAGGCTGGATTATGATAGTGGACTGAAGGAGTCCACCAAAGGGAGCCCGAGGAAGCATTGTGGGACATGGTTAAATTGAATGGTAAAGGACGGGCAGGGTCTGTCTGGAGAAGTAAAGGGATCTGGGAAATAGAATGACTTGTAAGACATGTTCAAAAGCCTGGAATCCAGAGTTGGGATGTAGCTCAACGTAGAGCAGTTGCCTAGCATGCAATAAGGCCCTGGGTTCCACCCAAAGCACAGAAAGCCCTAGGGTCCTAGAGTCCAGTTCCAGAGAAGCCCACTGATTTCATCCTGTTACCCTGGGGTCCAGCACACAGTACATGGTCCATAAATAGTTGCTAAATAGGTTGTGTGTTTAACAAGTCGCAGGTGGCTTGGTGAAGCTGGTTGTGGGTGCAGGGGTTATAATGAAGGAGGATCTGCCAGTGTGGATCACTGTAGCCCTCTCTATCACCAAAGGGGCAGACTGCTTGCAGAAGTAGGGGGAAGCAGCTCCCAATCATTTTCGGCCTGGGGGAGGGGCCTGTTGAGCTCTGCATTTGAAAAGGATCAAATGGAAGACAGGGAGCCAGCTCAGAGGCCGTGTGGGTGACGAGGCCTGGGACAGGCTTCCTCGACCCTAGCACCAAGATTCTTTGCATGGACAGAGAAACCTGTCCCCCAAGGAGTGATCTGGGCAGTCCCTGGTATTTCCAGGAACCCCTCGTTTTGCAACCAAGAAGCCTTTTAATTTCCTGGGGAGGAATATGTCAATAATATCTAACAGCAAGTTTGCTTGTTGAAACGCTGTAGATCTGGGGTGCGGCTTTGGGTCTGGATTAGATTTTCCTTAGAAATAGCTACTCCTTGAATGTCTACACCCGGTTTTCTAAGTAGTTGAGAAAACTCGCTGCTGGTTTTCTTGAGAGCAGACAGAGAACCCGGAGAAAGACTTGTGGGGGTGAACAAAGTTAGGGAACATGTGTTCTGCTGTGGAGTGGCTGACTAAGGAACCCTGGACTGTCCAGACAGGTCAAGCAGCAGGTCTGAGAGCTGGGTTTTGAGGTTTGACTCTGGAGGACATGGTAATGGGCAGATGACGAGGGAGGCTGAGTGGGACCAGAAGGGTGATATAGGAAGCAAAAGCAGCCAAAGGAGTGGCAGGCTCCCAAATTGGCTCTCTCTCTACAGCTTACCGCTGCCCAGCCCTGGGGGCTGCCAGACAAGAGGGCTGGGGAGGGTGGGGCGCGGGTCCATCCCTGGTGTCGGACTGGGAAAACGGAGCTGAAATTCGAACCTGGGAAGTCAGCAGCAGCGGATAATCCAGAGGCTGCAGCTAAAGCGGCATAAACCGCAGCTTCGGACAGTGGCCGGACGCAGACCCCTGTGGCCCCAGGGTGAGCGGGCGCAGAAGCGAGTGGTGAATTGTCCTCCAGAACCCCCAAGAATCGGGGTGTGTGTGGGGTTCTCCTCCTGCTGTCCGCATCTAACCCCCTCACCCCTCACCCCCAACCCCGTTTTAGATCCCCGGAGCCACCTCGGAATCAGACCTCTGCCCGCGGACTCCGCCCCGGGACCCCTCCTCCTCCTCCCGGGCCCCCGCCGCCCGGTACCGTCTCCCGGGGAGATGGTCTCGATCTCCACGCCCATCGCGGTCCCACAGGCCCCGCCTCCAGGGGGTCCTCGCGGCTGCCCCGACCCCGGCTCTGCTCAGGCCTGACCCCGCCGGCGCTCCGGCTCGCCTTCTCGCCGCCACTGCAGAGCCGGAGGAGGTGCGGCTGGAGTCAGGACCTGCGCGGGGAGGGGCCGCCGGGAAGGGGGCGGCGGGGTGGAGCCGCGCGACAAGGTGGGGTTGGCCGGGGCGGGGCCCGGGGGAAGCGACCCTGACGTGGCTGCTCCGGAGCCTGGCCAGACGGAGCACCATTAACCCCACTAGCCGAGGGAGGAGGGTGGCGAACGAGGCGTGCCGGCACTAGCGCATCCACGCATCCATCCATCCATCTGTCGGTTCCATGCATATTTATTTAGCACCTACTCGGTGCAAAGCTCCAGGGAGTCCGCTCAGTCCTACAGACTCGGAGGAGAAAGCCGGTAATTAAACTAACACTTTAAATACATGTGCTCAGTGCCGTGGGCTTCAGAGTACAGCGGAAGCACCCGAGACTGATAACCTAACCCTGGCCAGGCTTCCCGAATCTACAGGAACAGAGCCGGGAAGGGAAGAAACCAACTACTGATGATTTTTTTTCCCCAACCACCTTGAGCCCATGCTCATTATCCCTCAAAGTTCTACGGCAGGTATTTGTATTGGGTGGGGGTGGGGGTGGGGTCTCACTTTTCAAGGCAGAGGACCGCTCCCTGGGGGATTCCAGTTGGATTAAAGCAGGATCGCTGGGCTGCGGGTCCTAGCTGAGAATACAGCTATAGCCTGGAGTGGCAAGTGCTGCAGAAGGAACGAATGAATTCCTTTACCTCTATCCAACACAGACAGGAATCTAGAAAGAGACTTTTGTCCTTCCCGAATCCTCTGCCTCCGTGGTGCTGGGAACTGAACCCAGGGAAATCAGGGCCTCTCCACACACGCTAAGCTAATAGAGGCTACATCCACAGCCCATAGGAAGATATATTGGGAGGAGGTAGCATTTGCTTGAAGGCTGAAGGACGCTTTAAGACTGTCTCCTCATCCTTCCTACACCGTTGCAAAAAAAAAATCGACATGTGTTGATTCTGACAAGAGACGCCTGGGAAGAGGTAAGTATGAGAGAAAGACCTATTCAAAGGCCCAGAGTTGGAACGTGAGGCGTTTTCCGTGGTTTCTCCACTCTTACTCTTCCAGGTGGCGAAGTCGCAGATGCGGTTGTTAGCATCCATTAAAGAGGCCTGAAGTTGGCGCTCAGGAAAGATGGTCTAGGGTAGTGTGCGGGTCAGGATCTGAAAGACCCCGCGGGCGTGGCCTAGAGTCTTCATGGCTACAGAAGTTTGAGACCTCCAACCCTATTGGCTACGGCCTTGGGCAGGTACTTTCAGATTAGGGGTAGAACAGATCTGCCACTTGGGCAGGCCTAGGAAGCGGCTCCAGGCGAATGGGTGCTATTTACATTTTGGGAGCGATAGTTTATGGGATTTTAAATGGGAAGTCCCTGACTCCCCTCTCCCAAACTAAAACCGACTGACCCATGTTGACTCTAGGGCTCCGATTCCTTCTTACCAACCTCTTCTAAGAGAATGAATGAGACGTGCTTGGGAGAAGAGGTTGAAGCGCTTGAGACGGAGTCTGAGGATTTACCGGTCGTGGTTTCACGGGAACTACAACTCCCAGAAACCCTTGCAGCAAAACCCTTGCGCTTACTGGCTAGCGGAAGGACCCGCCGCTAACGTGACGCACGCAATAGCCAATAGTAAAGAGGCATTGCCCAGGACCGAGGGCCGAGCCTTCCGTTCGTTGCCCGGGACTTCTGATCCGCGGTCCTGTGACGTGAGCGGCCCCCGGGATTTTTATGTGTGGGGCGGGGAGGCCAAGAGACCAAGGTATTTCGTGTCTTTTGCGGCCAGGCCTGGCGTGTGTAGGGAGGCTGGGGCTGGGCAGGGAGGTGGGAGGCACTATAGCCCAGGGATGCAGGCGTGGGGAGGAGGTGAGTTCCAGGCGACGGTGTGTACGGGACAGTAGGTTGAGGACCAGTCTGGTGTGGTAAAACAAGTGAGTGTATCCTTTGGGACTCACGAATGATACTTCTGGTAATATAACCTAAAGAATATAGCCTTGCCGGGCGGCGGTGGCGCACGCCTTTAGTCCCAGCACTCGGGAGGCAGAGCCAGGCGGGTCTCTGTGAGTTCGAGGCCAGCCTGGTCTACAGAGCGAGATCCAGGAAAGGTGCCAAAACTACACAGAGAAACCCTGTCTCGGGGGGTGGGTGGGGTGGAGAATATAGCCTTATTTATAATAGAATAAAGTCTACGGACTTTGAGGTGTCTCAGAAAACCGAACTAAGAAGTTTTATCACAAATCACAGTAGCTGAGCTTTTTGTTAATTGCTGGAGGCTCTGTAACCGGTTAATCAGTTAAGGCGTAGCCAGAACGTTGTCTCTGTCCCACTTCTCTAATCCTTTTGGGGAGGCAGAGGGGGTTTTTGTTGTTGTTGTTGTTGTTGTTATTGTTTTGTTTTGGTCTGGCTTGGGCTTTTTTTTTTTGAGACGGTAGCCATATCGTTTTGCAACCTGTGCTAGTCTGAAATTCATTGTTCAGACTGACCTCAGACTCTAGGCAGTGTGTGTGCCTCATCATTTGTGCATGCACGTGCAACGTGCTTTGGGGTAGAGTTGGAAGTCATAAGACGACTTTTGTGAATTGGTTCTGACGTGCCGCACCGTGGGGTCCAGGGCTTGAACTCAGGTCATCAGGCTTTAGAGGCAAACGCTTTTACCTGCTGGGCCATCTTGCTGACTCTTTGTTCACTTTAGTATTGTGGCCTTCAGACTCTTTCATGCCCCCACCCCCTTTTGGGGACATGATCTCCCTACCTAACCCTGACTGGCCTGGAAACCACTATATAAACCAGGCTGGCCTCAAACTGCCTCTGCCTCCTTTAGGACAAGGAGATCCAAGTTACACAGATATATTTGTAGCAAATAATACAAGCCCTTAATGTCTTGTTAATACCTTTTGAAAGAACTTTATTATTTTTAATTTTGGGGGAGGGCGCTCGGGATTGGACCCAAATTTTTGAGCATTCGAGGCTGAAACTCTACCAATGACCCACATCCTCAAGTCCAGAAGGATGTTTGTTTTGTTTTGTTTTTTTATGCTGAAGATGTGTGTCCAGTCATCAAGTTTGTGACTAGAAGAGAAAAGTGATTTAAAACAAAACCAGCTGGGCAGTGGTGGCGCCCACCTTTAATCCCAGCACTTGGGAGGCAGAGCCAGGCTGATCTCTGAGTTCTGGTTTACAGAGCGAAGATCCAGGATAGGCACCAAAACTACACAGAGAAACCCTGTCTCAAAAAACCAAAAACCAGCCGGGCGGTGGTGGCGCACGCCTTTAATCCCAGCACTCGGGAGGCAGAGCCAGGCGGATCTCTGTGAGTTCGAGGCCATCCTGGTCTCCAAAGCGAGTTCCAGGAAAGGTGCAAAGCTACACAGAGAAACCCTGCCTCGAAAAACCAAAAAAAAAAAAAAAAAAAAAAAAAAACCAAAAACAAACAAAACCCCCAAAACTAAAATAATAATAATAATGATGATGATAATTCTCCCTCACAACACAACACCCCAATTCTTCGGAAAGAAAAGACTGGAGTGAAGTTGGTGTCTCTCCATTTGCCGTGATGAAGAGGAAGAGATGATGAAGAGATCATGTGTTAGTTCAGGAAAAGGAAATAGAGCAGATGTTTGTGATGGTTAGTTTTATGCCAACTTTCTTCTTGAAGGAAGATGCACTAATACTAGTCTAAAAGCCTTCTATTACCATACCTGCTTTTCCATGACCTGTGTTACTGTGTCCACATGCACTGTCAATGATGTTAGACCCAAGTCTGTGACTTAAAATACGTCATCTAAATTGTTTTTTATTTAGTTGGCCCATTAGGAATTTTTCTGCCCAGGAAAATGTGTCATGAGTTATTTATCAATAAAACTCTTTTAAAAGGGCATAAGTAGTTGCCAGAGGAGAGCCACGTGTTGTAGACCAGTCAGACAGAGGTTCCAGCTTTCACCATTGGTAATGACAAGGGACTCATCTCCGTTTTGGAAGCTACTGTGGAGTCACTTCTCCTGACATCAGGTATAAACGCAGAGCAGAACATTCCTCCTTAGTACAAGATCCTAAGAACAGGCATGAAACTGTAAGAGGATAAAGCTTACAGATAAGTTAAACACCGATGGCTGGGTTGTGTGGTAGGGAATCTATTTCTTTGGATAGAGTCTGAAGACAACTTGGAAAGTTCCTTGACACTTTACCAATCATAAAATTGAACAGTATCTGTTAGAGGTGAAGACTGGAATAGCAATAGGAGCTTCGTGAGCACCTCCTTACAGAAGGGGCTGGGACAGGAGCCCATCCAGAGTGAGTGGCTGAAGAAAGGGGTGTGCACTACACCCCCCGACCCCAATACATCTTCACTGCTCCGTGTTTGGGAAACCGCCCGCTGGTGGGCATGGGATATAGTCCACAGGTAGAGCAATTGCCTCGAACGTACAGGGTCCTGGGTTCCACCTTCAGTGGTGAACAAAAAGTTTGTTGCTATTCTTTGACTATTTAAAAGCTAAGATTTTTTTTAAGTCTTAAAATTCTTTATGAAATAAGTATATTTTTTATAAATTAATATTTTACTACTCTAAGAAGGTAATTTGACCGGGCGGTGGTGGCGCACGCCTTTAATCCCAGCACTCGGGAGGCAGAGCCAGGCGGCTCTCTGTGAGTTCGAGGCCAGCCTGGGCTACCAAGTGAGTTCCAGGAGAGGCTCAAAGCTACACAGAGAAACCCTGTCTCGAAAAACCAAAAAAAAAAAAAAAAAAAAAAAAAAAAAAATCCCCCCACATAAAGAAGTTGAAGGGTCCCACTTTGTCTCATATGCTACCCTATCTCAGTATCTACTGTGAACAGTTTACATATCATCCTGAAATTTTCCTGAGTCTTATTTATTTTTTTATTTTTTTTTTTTTGGTTTTTTTTTTTTTTTTTTTTTTTTTTTGGTTTTTCGAGACAGGGTTTCTCTGTGTAGCTTTGCGCCTTTCCTGGGACTCACTTGGTAGCCCAGGCTGGCCTCGAACTCACAGAGATCCGCCTGGCTCTGCCTCCC